GGCAGACTCAGACATGATCCAAGAGGACTGAAATCAAAGCACTTCAGGGCCAAGACTTGTCTGTGTGCCATAGCCTGTGTGAACCTAATTGGTTGGGGGAGGACAATTTGAACATTTGTTTGCTTGTGGTTGAGGTCCGACTCTGATCTCTTCACCATCCACCTGCTAAGCACCAAATAGAAGGGAAATGAATGCAGATTGTGAATTGAAGGGTCTTGTTTGAGACTGGAACATTTTCACACCTGAAGTGGCTCTACCTGAAAATGTCATTTAGCTGTGAAAAAGCAACATCCAGAGGTTTTCAAACTGTGAGGCATGACTGCAGATTCATTCCCAGCACCATGACAGGGGAGGTGAGGAATGAAATATTTACCATTCAGTAATTCAACTCATTGTCCAGACAGCATTTTAACCATGGGGAAAATAAGAAGATGTGATCTGTAATAGATGTGGACATTTAGCAAGACAAAGACAAGAGTGGAAAACTGAAGTCTCCACCGCGGGAAGTCAGAAAGGTAAAGCAGCAGCAAAGATAAATGAATTGATAAATTAGAGTAAAAAATTGCACTTCTTCTCTTCACAACTCAGTGAAATGTGAACACAGACATGAAACACATATTGATATCATTCAGTGGGACTTAGACTTCACCGGAGTATCATTATTTCTGATGTTCATCCAGTATAAACGTCCAGAAATCCACATAGAAATCAAAGAAAAAGTGGCTTCAGAACTTGACTAAGAATCATCACGTTTTTGAGTTTTCTTCAGTATTAAAGTAATCCAGTGATAGTTCTTCATACATACATGGTAAACATTGCGAACAGGAACAGCTAATGGCTTATTCAGCATTTTTATAGTGGCACCAAAACTAAAATTACAGTTTCACAGTTATATTGTATGCCTCTGCCAACCTGTCAAGTTCCAGTTTACCTCCATGTCTATCCAGACATAATATATGTAGATACACAATCTAACAAAAAGTAAAAGTGAATTTTGTGGCAAAATGTTCTTGCTTGACAAACATTTTCCCCCATCACATAAGATCTATACAGTCAGCACAGTTTTAAAGTGGACACCTAAGATTAGTGTCTTAAATTCAGTATCCTACCAAATGTCTCCCCTTCTGTCCCTGAGTTATGCTGTTAATTAATGGATAGAAAAGTATTTTTGCAGAACACTATGATCATGGTGAAGTTGTCCTTTGACCTTTTGGATTTAAAATCTCATCACTTCATTATTTTATCCTATTACACATTTGTTTGAACTGTGCATATCAGTTCTTAAGTTATGGCCAAAAATAGGCATTGTGAGGTCCCAGTGACCTTGACCTTTGACCACTAAATTCATTAAATGATAACATTCTTGATGAGGGGCTCTTTGTGAATAAAGCTAGCCACTGTAGATGTTGACAATAGCTTAGTTTACAAAGCTACTGGACTTTTGAGCCAAATTTAAAGATATTCCCTCAAGGCATTTTTGAAGTATTGCATTCTCAAGAATGAAATGGATGCAAAGTCACAGTGACCTTGACCTTTGACCACAAATATCTAATCATCTCATTGTTGAGTCCAAGTGGACATTTGCACCAAATTTGAGGAAAATCCCACTAGGCATTTTTGAGATACTGAGTTCATGAGAATGGGAGGGATGTAGGGACATGGCTATCGCCAGCATGGAAGTGTAACAATTGCCATTTTTTTCTGAACTAGTCAAATCACCAAGGCAAACTTTCTATTCATTCTTTTTCCATGGGAATGCCTTTACCAACATTTAACCACCATGAAACTAGAGTCCTCACTCTATTACCCGGTCTTCACATGTGACCACGTTTAAAGGATTTGGGCCCTGGTTGACAGTAAATGTGTTTAGAGCAAAGATCAGTACAGTTTGTTTGGATGACCGGTAGAAGCTGTTTGGTCTCAGCTTGAAATCAAGTTTCTCCCAGCTGTTGTTGAAAGATGGCAAACCATTTTTATATTTCTATATCCAGCATTCCCCAGGTTTACAGGTGAATAACGTACATCTATTTTTAGTAGTGAATAACTTAAGCTGTATTCCTGAGGCCTCTCCCATCATCTGGACCTGAGCAGTCGTAAAAACACTGCTCCTGTTGGATCGTACACACACTCTGTAAAATCTTTTGAAGGCTTGCCGAAGTGCTTTGATAACTCCTACCCCACAGCTGCTGCTTTGATCTTCAAATCAAATGCTGACGTACTATTGTGTTCTACTGATGAGAGGTTTGATCTTCTTGTAAGGATGACAACTGGTAATGATAGCCTATTTGATCAATCATAACTATTACTGAATGCATAAATACATGTCACTCTTTCACCCTCGTGTCATTTGCACCTTCCCTCAGAACATTTCTCATTTTTCTCAATTTTCATTTGCCTATGAACTAGGTTTGTGAGAAATGTCTGCAATAGTGCACGGTACAGGAGTATCTAGCATCTAGAGCTGTGTTTCACATCTTCAATATATTAATCTGTTATTTGTGCATACTAATATTCTTGACCCTTCCTGCTACTACTTCACAGGAGAGGTCTTCATAATAAATTATGAAAGTTAACCAATCATTATATTGAATTTTGCATGTAGACCATTTTCTATTGAAATACACTGCACCTCTTAGCATTTAAAGGTGCCCTGTGGAGTTTAAATAAACAAAAGATATGTTCCTGTTACTTTCATTTACTCACCAAAATGCATGGTGTTTCCTTCAACTCCAACAAATGTTTTAAATGCATTCCCTTTCTGACTGTTAAAACATTTCAAGACATTTCTTTAGGCTCTAAAAAATGTTATGGGCATCTTTTAGCAATGACAAGTCAGTCAGTTGATTGGTCTGCCGCCATTTAATGGATTACCATCCGTCTATTATCTATAACTGCATATCCTTAGAGGATCATGGGGAGCTGGAGCAGATCTCAGCTAAGGGCAAAAGATGGAATACACTCTGGACATGTTGCCAGTCAATCACAGAGACAGCTACTCACACTCACATTCACTCTTACAGGCAATTTAGAGTTACCAATTAACCTACACTGCATGTTTTAGACTGTGGGAGGAAGCTGGAGAACACTTGGGCTGGATACTGACACTTAATATCTTCAAGGTATGGACTGAATGATACCTGCATTCAACACTTTGTGTACACAGATCTCAAAAAAAAAGACAGTTTGTATGATTTTGCTTAGAGCCAATCACCACAAGTGTTCTTCGATTTAATGCAACATGTGATTGGCCCTCAACCACAGCAGCTACAACCCATTCAGTCTGTAGTTTGGTGAAGTTGTGCACGGTAATGCAACAGAGTGCTTTTTATCATGTGATAGCTGGCAAATGAGGTAGGAAAAAAAGTATTGCATAAAGTACTCTACTGGTATCGGTATCACTCTAAGGGTACTGGTATGGGTACTGGTATTGTCATTTTTTTTTTACGATACAAAGTCCTAAAAAAACATGCTATCACTGGAGAACATACAAACTCTTCAGGGAAGAGCCAAACCCAGACCTTATGCTTGCTGCGAGGCAACAGTACTGACCCATGCACAACTATGCCATGGTTTACCATTAGATTCATCCAATCATGGTGAAGTTTCATCTGGAGCCACTATCAATTTATTATTTCAGTTTGGTATATACTTTGGTTCGTGACCAAATACCTGACATTCCATCAGCCACAGCTGTACTTTGTGTTTAGAGCTAATTAGCAAATGTTAGCTTTCTTGCCTGTTCAGCTAAGATGACAAGCTGAATATAGGCATATTAGCATGCTCACATTAGCTTTTAACTCAAACCACCACTGTTGTTTGCAGACTCTGCTGCTAACATGGCTGCAGACACCTTGATTCAATGATTAATTGAAAAATAATTAGTAGTTGTAGCTCCCTCTTTTTCAAAGATAATCTCAAGGTGGTAATGCTTTATGATTTGATTGATTTTTAAGTTTTGAAACTCAAAATTTGTAAAAGTCTGATGTGCCTCCAATAGCGTTCTAACTTTCACCAAATTCTAAGCTAAAGTAGAGGTTGTAGAGAACTCATAAAGGCTATTAAGGACCCACTTCAAATGCTATAACTTGATTTAATGGGCGTTATCAGTGATTATCAGCCGCAAAGACAAAGGTTGAATAGTAGGTTCAGAGGGCCATTACCAGTCCATTAAATGGCCATGTCTATTGTTAAGCAGCACCTGTTAGTAGCCTTTACTTCATTTTATTTATTTGACAGGAACAGTGCATTTTAATAACATTTCTGAAAATATGCCAGAATAACCTAGGCAGGCAATTTTTCATCTGTTGTCCCCAGCACTACATAGTAATTATGACAGTAGTAAGGGAGGAAGTCAGATGATGTAACATTAGTATAAAGAGTGAGAAAGTCAAGTATTGGTGATTAGGTCAAACAAACATAAGACTTTCACTCAGGAAAAACTGTTTGTGTCCCAAAAAGTTGACTCTGAGTTATTGTAACTGGTCTATGTACGTTTGTCACATTACGTTACGCTACGTGACATTGCAAATGTACTGTTATGTTTCGTTCCAGCATGTTAGGTTACATAACAAATGCGCTTATTTCAACCCATGCCATGATGTCTTTTTGTAGATTGTATGGAAAATGGTTTTCTAAATGTTCCCACATATCTAAGGTGAAATGGTGAGATAGAGTAGATGTGGTAGATTATTTGTATCAAACTGAACCAATACAATTTGAAATTTAAAAGATTTGGCAAATATGAAGGAGAATATCTGTAAACACAAAATTCACCTTGTGTTGTCACAAACCAAAAGTTAATAGTAATGGTAGAAATAATATAAGTGATTAAAAAAAAGCCAAAGCAATGGAGATAAAACAAATACAATAAATAAAGAACATACTGTGACAGCAACAAGATGAGCTCAAACCAAAGATAATAGAAAAAGCCTTGGGATAAAAGTCTGAAAGGTAATTTAAAATGGGAAGGCGATGAGCGTGATGAGCTGAAGTGTACTCACGATGTTGTTGTGTTCAGGCAGGTGGTTGTTGCTCAGCAGCTCATCCTCCTGAACCAGCGGGGAGGGCCTGGGAGCAGGAGGGGGGGTGATGTCTGCAGGCAGGGAGTCGGGGCTCCCCATCCAACTGATAGAGTTACCTGCACGGAGACACAGCCTCATCACTGCCTCTGCGTGTGTGTGTGTGTGTGTTCGGCGGGCCTGCGTGCTGTGATGCTGCATCTGGGTGGGCGTGAACCTACATATCTATTTGGCAGCTTTATTGTTTGAGCTGTCAGCAGCTTGATAAATCACCGAGCTTTATGGGAAGTGCATTGACGCATCGATCCAGGCTTTAGTGTTTGGACATACAGGCTCAGTCTGTATCGACAGCTTCATTGACAGATGCTGTGATTGAGTGACAGCTGGAGGGCTTTACCCTGAGGCTCCTCTCCTCACACCTCTTGAGCCCCGCAGAAGCCTAAAGCTGCAGATACAGACTGTAAGACTCTTATGAATGCTGAAGCTGGAGCATGTAACTGACATATGAAGAGGTGGAGTTCAGTTAGTGCTGTGAACATCACTGCAGGTGTGAGCCACCCAGACAGATTCAGCAGACATTGTGTCAGAGACATGTTTTCATTTATTCCCTTTGAGTTGTTCTTCAGAGCATCTTTGATTGTGGCATATTAATTTCGTTTTCATAATTCTGGTCCTCAGATATATTAAAAACAGGCTTGATAAAAACAATATGAATAGCAGTATGTTTGGCAAGTATTTTAAATGTGACTATCTATCTCCCGAACAATCCCCAAAGGTCTGAATATTTAAGTGTTCTAAAAAGCATCTGAAACAGCGAACAGAGCATCATAAGACAAATGCCATAAAATCATGAGAAATCATTTCCTTATATTTATTTAGGATATTCCTGATCAGAAAAAATGGTTGCATAAAATCAGCTTAATCTATGTCCTTAGGAAATTCCCTTAAATAAATAACTTACATGCAGTGATGCTCTAAGAAATTTGTTAAATCCAATTTGCACAAATATCCTTAGCAGCAAAAATAAGTAGAGGCTGATATTTTGGTAAATGTGCTTATTACCCTTCTTTCCAAGAGTGAGATGGGATGATTGAAACAGAACTTGTGTCTTTGTGATAAATACAGATCCGGGGCCAGATGCATAAAACTTTGTAGAGATTTTGGATTTAACTTGTGTGTACGTACAAAGACAGAAATGTGTATACACTTTCTTTTGATCAGATTTATACAGCTGCACGTACACTATGGTTCTGTTTTATAAATCTCCAACACTGTGGAGCTGGGCGCATGTGCAAGAGGCTCCCACAGTTCCCACAAGGAATGGATGTAGAAACACCCTGAAACATTGGTTTTCATATCGATACTTGTGCCCGCTACAACACTTATAAAACCTGTCAATGAGAAATATGCTAAAGAAAGTGTAATTAGCCCTTCCTAATTCCCGCCCCTCTTCACTCAGCGCTCAAATAATGCTTGAGCAAGCTTGCAGCATGGCATAGTGGTCAAAAGTGGAATTACAGTCCCTGGGTCTGTCACGATATGCCATAGGGCCAAAAAAAAAAAAAAAATGTTCCTATGGACTTACATTGTGAAAGAGACATCTGTAAATCACTGGATAAATGCTTTTGAGCATCACAACCCCTGCCAAATAACTAATTTCATCTAGATTTAATCAGTTTGGTCCAATGACTTTTCCGAAGTCTAGAAGGGCTGCACAATGAATCTTTTTTTCCCCATATAAGGTAGCAGAGCACTAAACCTTAAGTTAGCCACTCAGCCACACTCGACAATGCTCAGCCGCCATAAATCTGTAGTGCCTTTGCTCTATGGGCACCACAGTGCGGAACATCTGGGTAATTTCATTTCACTTTCAATTTTTGGCTTAACGTGCCACAGAGCAACTTATATTGGAATGAACAGTGGTCACCTCCAACACTGTATCCAGTTCTCCTTATTGATCCAAACGGTGGGACCTCCGTCAACTTTACCCTTTCCTGTTATACTAGCTATGCAATGTGCTACGCTTGTCTGTAAAAAAGAAAAACAAATTTTAAAGATGGTTAAAAGATGTGGCTGGGGGGCTGGAACAACTTTCACGTACACAATACATTGTATATCATCATTTCTCAAGTTAGCTACTGTTAGCAAAATTCTAGGTAACTAAATAGCAAACATTTTACCACATCAAGAGGAGCTAAATGTCAGATCAACAGCATCACCCAGGTTTGCTTCCTCCTTATTTCTGAGGTAACGTTAATGAGATTTGGAAAAGGACATATCCTTCCATCACATACTGCAGTCCTTGCCGTCAACTTTGTGAAGGTATACTGCCTCACTCCCAGAATATATGTATGCTTGTCCGACCTAGCAACAGTAACTAAGGGGGGCGGGACTTTGGATCTGTCAATTTCACAAACTGAATGACATTGGTAAGGTTCTCCAACAGTGCCAAAACAGTTTACATTACAACAGTTTTCATTACGCACGGCTGTGGCTGTTTGTAATGTCCGTACCACTAATTCATCACATTTCTGCAAACCATCATCATGGTAAATTCTCACCATTCTCATTAACTTCTCATCAATCGTTGTTGTTATCAAATGTCAGAAGGATGATCAATGGTCTATTCTTAGAGCTTATGTCAAAACTGACTTTACAATGTACATTTTTAACCTGTCACTCCAGCTTGTCACAGTCCCAACCTGTTTTAAAACCACCGCCATCAGCCCCATCCCTAAAACCCAGACAATCTCAAGCCTAAATGATTACCGGCCCATCGCTCTCACCCCGGTAGTCACAAAATGCTTTGAGAGACTGGTGTTGGCACGTATCAAGGCATGCCCCACCTCGAAAATCCCAATACCTATGTGAGGATGCTTTTCATTGACTTCAGCTCAGCCTTCAATTCCATCAGCCCTCACAAACTGGTCAACAAACTGCAAACACTCAGCATACAACCCTCTCTGTCTGTGGATCCTGGACTTTTTGACCAACAGGCCCCAGCATGTCACACTGGGCCATCACATCTCAGCACCAGTGTCCCCCAGGGCTGCATTCTCAGTCCAATTCTCTACTCCCTCTTCACTAGTGACTGCACCTCCACCCACAACTCAAACCTAGTGGTCAAGTTTGCAGACGACACGACCATTGTGGGTCTTATTAGCAACAACAACGAGGCAGCGTACAGGGAGGAAGTCAGGACACTGTCTGCCTGGTGTAAGGAAAATGACCTCAACCTCAATACAAAGAAAACCAAAGAAATAAACATAGATTTCAGGAAAAACAAGAACACACTTCATACTGAGCTGTGCATTGACAGGGAGAAAATGGACAGAGTCTACAGCTTCAAATTTCTAGGAGTCCACATCTCTGAAGACCTCACATGGAGCCTTAACACCTCACACCTAAGCAAGAAGGCCCAGAAGTGTCTCTTCCACCTGAGGACGCTGAAGTGCAACAGACTTCCTCAGAAGCTGCTCATCAGCTTTTACAGATGCACCATCGAAAGTGTACTAACTTATGGGTGCACAGCCTGGTACTCCAGCTGTACCGCAGCGGAGAGAAAAGACCTTCAGCGGGTGGTTAAAACAGCTCAGTGGATCGTCGGCTCTCCACTCCTGCAGCTGAGCGACACCAACTCAAGCCGCCTCCACAAGCAGGCCACCCTGGACATTCCCTGTTCAGCACTCTCCCATCATGCAGGCTGAGAACCATCCGAGCCAGAACCAACAGACTAAAAAACAGCTTCTTTCCAAGAGCTGTGGATTCTCTCCTCAAACATAAACACACACTATTCTCATAAAAACACACATACACTTACCTGACGAAAAGTGCAATATCTGTGCATTATTTTATTTTATCTGTGCATTATTTTATCTATGCATTATTTATTTATTTACTACCTTAACTTATGCCCTTTTTATGCTGATTTTTTGGTGCTGCAAACGAAACTTTGTTGTGTTTTTTATATGCAATGACAATAAAAATATCTATCTACATCATTCAAATTAAACAATCATAAACAGGAAGAAGATGGCTTGAATGTAAATAAAAGGTGATATCACTCAATGCATCTCATATGTAATTTAGAATTTAATTATTAAAGAATGTAGCATGCAATAAATAAATAAATAAATAACTAAGTAAAGCAATCAGTGAAACTGGCAACCAACCTTGTCACCAGTCTCTCCACTTTTATTTAGTCTCATGATATCACCCACAGCCATTTCAGCTACCTTGTGTACATATATATATATATATATATGTATGTATGTATATACATATTTTTGCATGTTCAGTGTTTATACATCTGGCACCTGGAGTTGGGAAGTTGCTAGCGTAGTTGCTAGTTTCAGTATAAAATCTGAAACGTGTGGGAAAACAGCTAGCCTGGCTCTGCGTAGTTAAAAACACACACATACACAAACACCTACCAACAGCTTTAAAGCTCACTGATTAACATTTATCTCTTTTTCTAGTCTATACTCAAACACAGACAGAAAAAAATGTTTTGGAACATTTCATTGACAATCAACAGTTAATCATCTACCCAGCACTTCTGTGCAGTCTCCAGCTACAGTGTGCGTTGCCAGATACAATAGCTGAGCACAGGTTTTGGTCTTTGTACAGGCACGCTGGTACCAAACCTGGCAACCTCACAATGACAACAAGCCTCTGGTAAGCTGTGCACTATCACAGTGCCTAACTATTGCCACAAAATAGTTCGAGCACATGACTCCCTTTGTAATCACAAATTGGCATTTTTGAATATGATTTCGTGTACAAATTAAATCAACAAGGTAGAAAATGTGTGAGTTTTAAAGGTGTTCTCTATTTGTGTGTATTATTGAACTTGAGACGGAACCAGGCTAGCTGTTTCCCCCTGCGCCCAGCCTTTATGCTAAGATAGGCTAACCATGTCCTGATTCAATCTCTGTACTTACTCCACCCACAACATGATCATTTGTATATCAATTACTCACCACCTGTTAGCTTAATTTTTTTTTTTACATTTTTCTCACATGCCTCCGTGGGGAACAGAGACTACAAAAAAAGGTAAAAATTGAAAAAAAGTGTGATCCAAGTCCTATTCATTCAGTCGTGTGCTTAGTACTTCCGAAACACATGCATTTTTGCTAAAACATTACAGTATAAATCATCTCAGCATACAGGGGCATTTGGAAGTACTGAACATACGACTGGATAAATGAGATTTAGGTTATACTGCATGAGCTGTGCGAGAGTTTGTTAAAGGATGATATAGTTTTGCTTCTGTTAAACGTGGACTATGATTATATCAATCCAGGCAGGCTGTTGTCATGCACTGTCTGTATGTATTCCTACAAAATGTAATGCACCAAAATTCGCACATATCACATATAATGATGACCTAATAATTTGTGCATAATTCTATTGTATTTCAGAAGGCTGCAATCAAGTGACCAATGTGCTGATGGGGGTAAAGAAAGAAGCTGTCCTAAGCGGTCTTGTTCTGAGGTATGTTGAGGTGGAAGATGGGTCACAAAACACAAGACTTACCCACAGGTTTTTCCCCAGGAGACCGGAGTTCGGAACCGTGTGAACTTTGAGTCATTTTAAGGTACGTTCTCATGTTTCTTTCCCTAATCCTAACCACAGTAACTTTACTTGCCCCAACTCCCTTTACATTAAGAATGTAACTTCATTTGTGGGCTGCTAATTTGTAGGATGTCATATGAACTGTTGTGTGTGCTTGTCAGTAGGATATCATAGGAACCACTGTATAAGGATACGTTAATTTATAGAGAATGCTCGCCTGTTTTTGGACTCTCCATTCAATGTGGAGGCATGCAAGAGAAACAAAGTTTTCTTCACAAATTTGAAGTCACATGTGGTGAGTAACTGATATACAGAAAGAAGTTGAGTTTTCCTTTAAGACACTCTATCAGATGTAGTACATACAGTATTTCTGAAAATACTGAACCATTCATTTTAGGCACCTTGAACAGCAAGCTATCTCAGCTAATTACTTTTTATTCATTGACCAACAGAATGAAGATGTGCCAGTCTTGTCCATTATTTCTCACCACACTGGTTGCTTCAGACTAAAAGACATTCTAATCACATTACTTTGTACTATCTGTTTGTCTTAAATTAGATTAATCTGCAACATACAAGTTTCACCTCCTCAGGACAGCGTGGCTCCTTTTCATCTGATTTTCACCAGACATTGTAATAACCTCACTATAAAAAAACAACAATAATAAAAATGAGCAGAGGGCCCTTATTGAATCCACCATCATCCACTCTATGTGAATTAGTGTACATAGGTATCCGTCAAGTGCAGTGCACATAGTACAATCCACATGGCATTTTAATTAGATTTTGCCTATAGAGTCTCAGAGAGTCTCCTGAAATACTACCTGGCCCAAGGTCGTGTTGAAATGATTTTGTGGTGATTTGATCAAGTGCAGATTTAGGTGATATTGTGCTACAGTGGCGCATACTCCCAGTTTACAATTAATCAAATTACCACAATCAAACTGACACACTATGAACCAAGGGGATGGTTGCCCCTGGGGATCAGAGAGGTTTTTGTCAAGCTGGTAACCCAGCTTTGACGATAACAGTCTGGACTGCAATCAGGATTTATTCAGCCTGAGCAAGACAGGTTTCCTTTTTCTGCTAGACTTTGAGACTCTGAGAAAAAAAAATGTATGTAAAGTTTTATGTCAACACATCAACTGCAAATATAACTTATATTGCAAACAAAAAAAATATCAATCTCTCTGAAATCTGATTAAAACATCATTACTAAATCACACACTTTGAAGGACCAATATTCAACAAATAAATAAATCACACTTATCAGATCTGTCTTAGTCCAACTCTTGTGAATGACTGTACAGACCAAACATAGTGTATGATAAGACCAGTAAATGTGCATAAAGTGTATACTCACGCAGGCAGGTGTTGTGGGTGAACATGCGCTGCAGTCTCAGACAGTCCTGCCACTGGTTGCCACTGCCCTCACAGTTGCACCACAGCGACACATCTGCAGAGCTGTTACTGATGTAGTTTGGGGTCATGATGGTACCTACAGGTCAGAAGGGTCAAAGCACATGTTAGCTTTGGACAATTCAAAGAACCTACGTGCTTCATTTTTGTCACAGTAATTCAGAGATGTAAACACAATTGCTAGAAACAAATGAGGCCATGTCCAAAAAACCTGGAAGCTTCTACTGGCTTCTACACTGTATTTTACTTTGAGCAATTTGGGAGGAAATCAGCTAAAATGCTTTATGGCGGGGCACAGAAAGAGAATATTGTTCTTTTACTTCAAACAAAGCTGAAACGTAGCCTGTAGAAAAACATGATATCAACTCTGTGACGTTTCCTCGGGGAGCTGAAGGGACATTTTGAAGCCTGGAGTTGGTGTTTTTTCTGCTCAGTGCCATCTTGGCAATTTTTAGAGGCAGAAAGCCCAAATTTTGACAATAGGCTGATGCCTGGATGAAGCTGAGGTAGCAAACACCTTAGCTGAGTGTGACATACACACACTCCCAAACAATTCTACTTTTACACTTTTAAGATACAGTTCAACATTTTGGGAAATACACTGACTGGCTTTCTTTTCAACGGGCAGATGAGAAAATCAACTCCACCCTGTTGTCTGTGCATCAAATTCAGAGCTGGAGCTGAGGGTCAGTTAGCTTAGCTTAGCATAAACACTAAAGCAGGAGGAGACAGTTAGCTTGGCTCTGTCTGAAGTTCAAAAACAGACCTACCAACAACTTTAAAGCTCACTGATTAACACATTGACCCTATTTGTTTAGTTCATACTCAAACAGACATGTTAAAAGGACAATGTGTGGTTTTAGCAGGAGTTGGGTGCATAAAAACGATGTACGTAAAAAACTATTTTCAAAAAACAGCCGGTTTCAGTCTTTTTTTTTTAAATTTTTTTTTTATTTACATTTTCAATGAATTGAACACAGTAGCCTTAAAGTGATAGTTCAGGTTTTTGGACATCAAGTTGTGTGAAACGCTGACCATCTGTAGCTCTGATGTGACAGTGTCACTACTCTCAACGAGCCTCCTGCTCTGAGAAATCGCCCGTAGCTTACCAGAGAAAAAGTAGTTCTCAAGATGTACGGGGGACACGTAACCAAAAGGTTTTAAGCTACAAAAAAGTATGCATGTGTTTTGTAAGACTATTTCAATAATTTTAAAACAGACCTTGCTATCAGTTGGGACTATTTTCTGGCCAGTATCACTCCGCCGTGCCAGACAGCACGGCAACAGAAATCAATAAGACAGTTCATCACCACGCCGTGCAGGTGCGCAGGATAGCAACGGCTAACGAAAACTTCATCGGCTGTTTCCAACAGAGAACCAGCAGGCTATTATTAGTGAGGAAAAAGATGTACTAGCCCTATATATACCTACTACTACAGCGTGAACACCGGCTCAGGCTCACGACACACCGTCGTCGGCTGCTGTAGGTAAACAGAGCTACAGATGGTCAGCGTTTCACACAACTTCATGTCCAAAAACCTGAACTATCACTTTAATCTAATGTGTTAATCAGTGAGCTTCAGAGGTGCTGGTTGGTGATTTTTTGAAAATTAAGACAGAGCCAGGCTAACTGTTTCCCTATGGTTTCTGTCTCTGTGCTAAGCTAACCACATCCTGTGCTTCCCAACCAACATTTGTGCATGGGGCCCATGTACCCAGATAGCCCTAGCATAACCACTTTAGTTAATTCACCCATGTGGGCAGTTGGCATGGGGCCAATATGAAACCTGTGGACAGTCCCTTTTAAAGTCCATTTTTCAGCCCATTATTTCCCACATTGGCCCCACATACAAATGTTATTAGAGGCAATGTGGCATTTGCCAAAGCATACCATGGCTTTTTAGATTGAAGAATGCATTTTTCCTACAGGCCAACCTTGTCTCCATGAACACATATCTATGCATACTAATTGGTTTTCCCCATTGTGTTGTATCAGGAAATGTTATTGCTCCTTTTTTTTTTTTTTTTTTTAGTGTAGAACACCACAGGCTGCGGTTTGTGATGAGCAATTGCTTGTTTAGTCAACAAAAGCACAGGGAACCTATTCTATATTAAACCAAAACCTTAACCAAACTTCTGAATACTTACACATAACCATAAAGCAGTTACATGTTGCTTTATCTATGAACACAAGTGTTTTCAGTGAATATTCTACTAATACTCAAGTAATACTCATAATCCAGACAGCATTACATTTTCTCAAAATGTTTTTGCTGTTGCAAATTAGATGTATACTTAGACTCAATTTGAGGATACAAGGTTGTTCATGGAACCACTGATGTCTTTTCTACAGCAGTGTGTTGCTGTCATGCCAGAAAAACAGACCAGTATCACAGTATAATGTGAAAAGTTTGTTATATTAAAATATTTTTACATTATTATGACACAACTCATCAAGTTATACAAAAAACTTTTCCTGTTGCAACAATATACTATTTGTCCTCTTTAAATGTGAAACTTTTAATGTTAAAACATAATCACTTATTGTTATGACACAAAACTTTTCCCTTCACAACATGATACCTTTTATTCTTATAACATGAAACGTTTCAAGTTATAATGAGATAAGTTGGTCTTGGGCAGAGGTGGACACCCCGTGAAATGTACTCCAGTGGTATAGTCTGTGTCCATGGAGCCTTCTGTGCCCCTCCAGCTGAGTAAGGAGAGATAATGCTACCTCCAGAAGGTCTGACTCATTCTTCCTTCTGTAAAGCCCAATGCATTTAAAATCCCTCTTAGTTTACCCATACTTATTGCAATATCATTCACCGTGCACAATAACAGCAGAATTTCACCATATCTCAACCCAAGCATGATGTAGAACTAATATAAATGTGTGATAGAGCTATATTCCTACATTTTTCCCTCTCCACCATTGTTTTCTCATTCTAACATAATTTTCACGTATCAACAATATAGACAAAAACGATCACATTATGGTGTGGAACGTTTCAGTTAAGACAATATAAGTAATCACATTATAACATAAAGGGTTTTGTGTTATAATAATAAGTGATCATAATTTCACATTATAACAAGATAAACAGTATATTGTTATCACAACAAAAGTTTGTGATAAGTTTGCATGTCATAATAACGTGAAAATTAGCGATGCACCGATTGTGAAGTTCCTGGCCGATACCTATACCTATGTTTAAAATAACAATTTGGCAGATACCAATGTTGTTGGGGTTGTTGGTTTTTTTTTGTTGTTGTTTGTTTGTTTTTTCATTTTGTTTATGTTATTTATTCCCCATTTTGTGCTAGGTAAACAAGAGATTACGAGATTACATTTGACCACATCATGAGAATATTTTAGTTTACCTTTGCCCAATACGATTTTTTTACCAAAGAGAGCTTGAACGTATCATAATGTAACGCAACCTCCATCAGCTGTTAGTTCCGGCCTCCAGCTGCTAACATCTAAAGTTAACTAGCTCTCCTGTTGTTCACAATGTAGCATTATCAGGGAAACAATAGAGTGCGTCCCATGACGTATCGATAATGAGTTTACTGCATCCTTTCTAGGGCTGTAGTCTCCTGGTCGACTGGTCGATTATTTGGTCGATATGCTCTCGTCCAACCAAATTCTCATTGGTCGAATAATCGCCATGTTACTTTCATAAGGAGAAAAGTGCTACATCAATAGCTTTCCAGGATTAATCCATTATTTCCTGCGGCGGGGGGCAGGCTAAGTTCCCTGTGAAAATGGGGGTGTTTTCAAATCACCTCCTTTGTTTACACTACGTTGAACTCGCCCACCCTCAGGGTCACTTTGACGCAGACCTCCTGTCAGTTTCTATATAGGCTACTGACACCTTTTCTCTCAGTGGAAACGAAGCTTGCATTTACTTGTATTTGACAGATGAGAAACAATAAATTGTGAAGACAGTAAAGCCTCCACTAAAATAGCATTTTAAGTCTTATGTGTGATTTATCCTTCAGGGATTTATACTTCAGGATTTATCCAGGTTTCATATGAGCAGAGGAAATCTCCGCTCGTTGCTAGGCTAATTTATACAATGTATTGTGCCATAGGCTGCCGCTAATAACATTAGCATGTTTGGAAAACGTGTTTAATGTGACAGTTGTTTTGTCAGTGAACCTTGTGAGTTGTAATGGAGCCAAATTATGTGCCGTTACCTTTGTTAAGTGTTGCTGTTGTCCCTGGTTTTATATGAGAAGAGGAAAAGATCGCTAGTTGCTAGGCTAATTTATACAATGTAAAATGCCATAGACTTGTGCTAATAACGTTAGCATGTTGTATTGGTGGGGGAAATGTGTCCAGATAAAGACAAGTGTTTGTCTGTCAGTTCTGCGATTTATAGTGAAGCCAATTTGCGTACTTGTGTTTGAAATTGTCTCTATTAAGCCATATTTAATGTGTGTTTTGAATCAACTAAACTTTACAGCACTTAACAGTCCTCCACCGCCGACTAGTGTTTTGGAGGTGTAACTGCAGAGTGACACAAACACACCATCGCAGAAGTAAAAATAACGTGCAGATTTTTTTCCCCCACAACTAATCAATTAGTTGAAGATTATGTGCGACTTTAGTCGACCAAGATTTTCTGTGGTTGACTACAGCCCTAATCCTTTCATCTGAATGGTGTCCTGGGGAGGATCTCCGTCCCTCCCAAACACATTTTCTATTGTCCCCGGGACAACACGATGGTGTTAGTCTCAAGCCCTGCTTTTTATTCGGCACAAAATTGATGTGACACAACGCTTACACATCGGCTACTGCCATCAGTGAATGTCATCTCATTTGTAGATAGGCAAATCGCAGTCAACAAGGAGAATACTGGCAGATACCGATGTGCAGCTGCTAAATCGGTGCATCCCTACTTAAAATATCTTGTTATAAAGTGAAAAACATCTTGTTCTTACAATAAACTCAGAGACAACTGGAGCCTGGTTTGGAGTAGGAAACTGTCTTGGAGGACAGAAGCCACGGGCCAGCTCATTATTTAAGATACAATATATGTTTCAAGCATATACAGTATGTTTTACACGATTAATCAGCATTCACCTAATAATCAGTGATAGACGTGGGTCGCTGTCTATGCCTTCTGTGGTCAAATGTTAAATGTAAATGTTAACTCCAATAGAGGGCCAAATGAAACAAAATACAACTAATATGTTTTTTTTTATCTTCAGGAAAACAATGCACGGCACTCACGTTTGATTATCTCTGGCAGCTGCCCTTTTGTAAATATGTGGATTATGCAAGTTGTGCCTTTAAGAAAGCTATGAGGCTCATAGAAAAGTCATCCATCATTGTCAGAGTGAGCAGAAAGCCACTCAATGCCTCTCTATCCACATTTCTTGTCAGCTGTCATGCCTCCTCACTTTCTATCTTGCCGCTACTGCTCCTCCACTTCTGCTCTGTCTGATCACCTTGCTCACACACTTTCTGTCTCCCCCCATTACTCTCTTTGGAGATTTGCACATTATTAGCTCTGTTTAAGAGAGTCTTAGGACAGTATTATAGATATATAAATTCCCCCATAATCATATAGGCTGGACAAGCTGCCAGGCTTAAGGGAACCCCCAACAATGCCAAAAATAACACCAAATATCCATTCCAGTGTTTGACCTGTATTCATTCTGCAGCAGAGCACCACTGTGAGTGCATGTTAGTACATGTGAGTCCCTGTGTGTGTGTATCTGAAAGACTAGCACATCGCCTCTGCGTTACACTCATATGGCGGTTTACGCTGATAAAGCTGCACTCACCCAAAACTTCCTCTCCTGGAAGTTATGTTCTGGTGGAGGTGAAATGCAGCCTTTTATTTCATGTAATTCTCATCATACCTCTTTTCCCAACTCCTCCCTCCTCTCCCCCCTTTTCCCCCCTCTCTCCCCCCTTTTCCCCCTCCCTCCTCCCTGCATCCCGTACCGATGAGTCCAGCGTAGGCTCGGAGGCACAGGCCTGCTGAGTCTTTCAGACAGCCGCTGGCCGTCAGAGGAGATGGCTGGCAGTTATTAAGGAAATCAGCCAGTCTGGACCTGGCAACAACACAGACAACAACTCAACATCAAACACAAGAAGCAGGAAGGAAATCTGGATGTGTAGGTTGGGGTGTGTTTGCATGCATGTAAATTTGGGTTCAGCGGATTTCAGTGCTTTCAGTCCTATTTGTACATTTAGCCTTTTCTCTGTCTTTTCATTTTTACAGTCTTCATGATACCTTTACTTTGGTCCCACTTTTTATCATTTACATAGGACTGTTGGATTTCTATGCATTTTTTGGGCGAATACCAGTTTGCTATTTATGTCATGTCCTCAGTATCACTGTTTTTTTCCCCACACATTACACTTTGAAGAAGATGGAGAGCAATTAAACCATCATGGCACAATAAAATTAATCACCAATCATCATCTTCATCATCATAAGACATGGTCACACCATCATTGAATATAGTGACATTTAGGTGAGATTCATTCATTGCAATGCAACCTAAATTAAAGAATAATATATACAGGGGAAAAAAATGGTTCAACTTGGATGAACTTTGACTCATGAATTAGCATCGTAAACCAACAGCAAACCATCTTCACAGTGCTGAGCTCTAAAGGACCAGACTCACCAAGCCTACATCGAAAAACTAGTGGCGCTGCATTGCTTCATGTGGCCTGTGTCTCAACCAAAAAGTTGCACTTTAACACACCGTAAAGACTACAGCCAACAGCCAACTAGCACGTATGTTCTGCACCTGTGAGAGAGGAAATAACTGAGCTGAGCTGAATTAATCAGGGGGATCCCTCTTATTGACGAGCTCCGCCGCTGATTCCATGTGCTGAATCAGCCAAAAAACTACCAACAAGGAAAGAAACACACTGCAGGGGCAACTGGGGCAACCGACGCTCACCAACAGCCCGACACTGAGGTACAGACCATCCTCAGCTTGGTGTGTCAGGGGGCCCTAAGGGAATGGGGAGCTGGAGAATCCTAAAAAGAGTAAGCTATCATATTAGCTGTCTTGCACCGTCCGATTTGATATAACCTTACTCTGTCAAAGAATAAACTGCTCCACAAATAATGACAGAAAATTAACATAGTGCTTTATTTATTTAATTACAATTTTGATTGCTAGGTAGCAGTGTTGGGCAGTAAAGTCACGTAGTGATGTACCATACGAATTTAACAGCATTTCTCAGTAGCATGGTGGTAACGTCACTACTTCCTGAGTCAAACAGCTTTTCAGTCGCAAAGTTAATTAATTGACTGAGTAGTGCGGTAGTGTCCACAAAAGTTACAAGCTCTTTTTCCCAGGAAAAGCTCTGAAGTGCAGCAGACTTTTTTCTGGGGATGTCTGGATGAAGTAAGGATATTAGAAGTACCGGTTAAGTAATGTGACTGACGACAGCGTCAGATCGAGACATGTAGACGAGGGAAACACTTCCACATGACATCACATACTAATCCTTCAGATTATTCTGCTTGTTGCCTCCCTATTGGCTTTTCTTGGCAAAACCCACCCTACTCTGCCTCTGATTGGCTACACTGCACTTCTTGACGTGTCTCTCTCGTGTCTTCCCCATAGACTATGTATATTTAGTAGATTTGCAGTGGACACTTGAGAAATAGACACAACAAGGGCCAAGAAAACATAGACATATATACATAGAAGCCGCATCGACTGCCTGAGCGCGTCCTCGCCGGCCGCCATCTTGAATGGGTCTCGCTTCGCCTCCACAGTGCATTCACTTCTATTGAGGAAGGAGCTGTATGCACAAGTAAAATAGAATAACTCACTGAATTTTCAACTGATTTTCACAAGGTTTGGTTTGTTACAAACGGCACACATGTAGTTATGATACAGGATGTTTTCGTACATTAAAAATGCAGGATTTCATGCTTTAATACTTTCTGCAGATAGCAACAGCATGTTATTTAGATCACAACACAGTTCTTTTATTCACCTCAACCCCAGAGTGGGATATATATATATATAT